CTGTATTAAAAGTGCTTGGTTGAAACATTGAAAAATTACATAAATACAGTTACAGTAGGCCTACGCCTGTGGTTTAAATCATTAGAATAATAGGCCTACTAGATAACATAACATTGTACAGTGAGATTACCAAGTTTGTGATCAACTTTGAGTTTACTCCAGTTTGGGTGTCGTGTGGTGAGAGAAGTTTGATCATCTTTATTAATGCCTCTCTGTGACACAGGCCTACAGGTACATAGTTGCCATCTTGCCTATGATGCCTTTCTCCATTGAGATTATGATGTCTGTTAAATTATAAGTTACCTTAGCGATAGAAGTCAAATTCATTGACCCAACTAGGATCTTGGGGAGGACTACTGTAATTGATGTTAATTACGCGTTGTCTTTGACGTAAGGTTTCAACTTCAAAATCCAGATACTCGTATCTGCAAACTGGGCAGGTGCTACTTGTGTCGTCCCGTTTTCTGGTGTCGAACCATCTGGTGATACACAGAACATCGGCAAACTGATTGCATCTTGGGCATTTGCAATGTAGATGGTCCAATGTCTGTAAGCAGATACAACAGTCCATGTCTTTGTTTTGCGTCATTATTTGAACTGAAAATTAGAATGTGGTGTGTTAGAATTGAAAATACAATAATATAAAAGGCATGATTGTTACAAAATTGATTTGAAATTAATGTGATATTGTCACTATGAAAGAACTGAAAATTAGAATGTGGTGTGTTAGAATTGAAAATACAATAATATAAAAGGCATGATTGTTACAAAATTGATTTGAAATTAATGTGATATTGTCACTATGAAAATGCTAAGTAGGAGCAGAATGCAACGTACCGTTTCCACACGACATTGGTATTGACGTAGAAGTTCTTTATACTGTCCTTACACGTTTATCTGGTTAACTTTATTTTGGTTATGGAAGTAAGTACAGTGAGAAATAGTGCTGGTATTGACGCAGAAGTTCTTTATACTGCCCTTAAACGTTTTAACTTATAGTACTATGTGGATTTTTTTCGGTGACCGCCCCCAAGGAGTGTCGGAATAGTGTGGATTTTTTAGATTACCGCCCTCAAGGAGTGTCGGAATAGTGCTCTGTGGATTGTTTAGATTACCGCCCTCAAGGAGTGTCGGAAATAGCGCTCTTTCCACTGACCCTTTAGATTTGAAATAACGCCCTCAAGGAGGTATTTTGGTTATGGAAATACAGCGGAAATAGCGGTCTTTGGACTGACCCTCTAGACTCGAAATAACGCGTGACGAGAACGAGGCAGGGAAAAGTAGTGTATAGTGAAGCGGCCGTGTGGTCAGAGGTGGAGGCAGCACGCGTTTTTTGTCCGTACGAAACATTTGCTTGAAACTCCACTCGGGTCGTCTCGGATTGATTCGACTCGAGTTTGATACGAACAAGAGCAGACACTTCCCAATGTCGTGACGCTCGAGTATTCTATTACCTTTAATACTGTACTGTTCTTTATATATGTTTACCTACGGTAGGCCTATTAAATCTTACCGATTTATGGAATGTAGGCTACGTCTGTAACTAACTGTGAGCTTGTATGTTTGTTATCAAATATACTACAACAACAGCTAGTACCCCCTTCTATAGTAGTACCAGTGGTAAATATGTATTTCTATCAAAGGTTAGAGAAAAAGAGGCTAAACTAGTGGGCCTAGTTACAAGTTGAGTTAGTTCCTACCTGCTAGCGCCCCCCCCCCCCCGACTAGGCCCCTAGGCCCGACGCTTCGCATGCCATTGACTGAAATTATGAAACAAATTTAAAACATGAACTTAAAATGGGACCGTGAAAAAATATTAAATATTATATATTAAATATATCACTCTGGCATTAATGAACTTGGCCTAAGCCTTGTAATGTAATTAATATTAAATAATAATAATAATATGTGTATAAGAGACAGATATATATGCCTACATTGTGTCTTTAAGAATGGACCGGTTGATACCAAATTTAGAAAGTTGTTGGATAAAAAGGTTTTTGGAAGAAGAATATGAGGACAAGTTTGAAGGAATTTTGAGAAGTCAGTAAATAACATCCAGTTGAAGAACAAAGAAATAAAATCCGGGTTAAGACATCTCTGCAAACAATCCTGGTGGCTAAAGACTGAAAGAAGATGCATGAGAGAAAACGTGGCGGCGTTAGAGGGTCGCGGGGGGAATTTCTCCCTGGAAAATTTTCGAATTTTCTTGCCCTCCCTCGGTTCTTCCATCCCCTCCCCTTGAAAGAAAAGAAAACATAATTCGTCAGGAAGAAAAAAAAAATATGTATATTCTACATAATTAGTAGACTACCGCATCTCTATAAAATCGGTTAAATAATCCCAAGCCTCTGAAAAATAAATAAATTGTCATATTTTTCGAGGGCTTTTCCCAACTGTACGGTACCATTTTTGAAACATGTTAAGCGACCCCCGCCCTTGGCCAACCTCCGTCGGAAAAATCCTGACACCGCACCAGCATATTTTCCTTATAAATTTACCTTTCCCCTCACTCCCCTACCCCAGATTCCAGACACTGGCGCCGCAACTGGGTGGGAAATTAATCACTCGAAAATGTTAGATAGGCCTAAGGTAAACAGTAAAGAAATAGGTTAGTATTTGCGATAACTAAGGAACGTCTGTGGATGGGAATAACGTCGGCCTTTTTCAAAGAGCAAAAACATAATAAGATAAAGATTGAGAAAAATAGACACAAAAAAATGGGATAATGGATTAGCACAAAGTTTAAATGTATATAGTTGGGCATAACATTATTATTGTATATACACATGTAGGTGGACAAAGTGCAACCTGCAGGCCGCAGCCACGCTCCCATGGCAATTTTATGCGTCTTCCCTTAATGATTGTGCGCCCCGGCTACCATCTTTGACTAGAAACCCCATTACTTTTACGGCCCGACACTGCTACGTCAAATTAATATTAAAACTGAGCATACAGTGGTACGGTACATAGCATAGCATAGCAATAGTGTCCCTCACTTCACCAAGCTCTTCCACATGCCGCTACCATCGTAGATACTCCACTGTAAAATTCAGATGCAGCCCTCAATGGTTAAATAAAAAATTGACTTTGGCCCTCTCCAATTCATGTTTATCTCCCCTGATTCAAAAAAACATAATAAAAATTATCCCCAGTAACTGAACGAAAATACAAAAAAAAATTGGAATATGAAAATGTAAGCTCTCCTTTCCATAGCTTTTTAATTGCGCGTATGACCTCAAAAACTGGCTCTTGCGTGGAAAATCAATAGGAAAATAGGTGCGCAAAATCGTAAACATAATACGCCTGCATTGATAATTTATGAAAATTAGATCAAAGCTTATAGATTTTGGGAAAATTTGCGCGGAAATCGGCCCCTATTTTCTGAAGTACGCGGACAGATTTCTAGGCCTATTTTTTGCACTTTCGGAGGATAATATCTTCGTGCAGGTCTAACTTTACAGTCTGGCCTCCTTTTCTATTATTATGATTTACAGAATAATGAGTCACGATTGCCTCAAAACCCGGCGCATACGCCGTTTCATCCACAACTCCGGTCAGCAACCCATGGTTCGCGAATTATTTTTTGGGGAAGTCGCATCTCCCATAAGCTACCGCGACCATTTTTTTTAACTTGGATTTTTCTTATGATTAAATGACCAGTTTATAAAAGAGTAATATTCTACAATTAAAAAAATACAATTAATCGAACCGACAGTCAGAAGCGACGATGGTGAACAGTTGCTTCAAACTAATATTATAGGTTTAGGCCTAAGCTATAGGCCTACTAATTATAATAATTAGTAGTAAAAACGATAATAAGGTAAAGCCTATAGTAGTACGCTTTCTCACGTCCAAGAAAATGCTCGCAGTATGGTAATAGAACAACATGCCTGTTTTTAAGACCTATTTGAAAACAGGCCTTCGTGGAGGCTCACGGTCATAAAATCATCACCCTTCTAGTGGAACCTGAAGAATGAAATCTCACGTTTAAATTATTTTTCTGTTTACAACCTGAGGCTGGTTTTCTTAGAGGTTTTATAGAAATTAACATGGTGAAACCTCTTGATTCTATCTTTTATCACGTAAAATAACGCACATTTTCTGGGCCTTCGCGCCTTTGGACCCCCGGGACATAGTTGCTGGGCTACGCTCACAAAGTGACCACACCGGAAATTTTACCCTGGCTAGTTAAAGCCCCAAGCCTGTTTTTTTTTTTCTTTTTATTCCGGACATGTTCGTTCGAAAAAATGTAATTTACTGGAATGCGTTGAGAATTATGTTGCTTTCATTGTTATGCAGCCATCATTTGGGTGTTGGAGGAAGGGGATAGGTATTTCGACGGAAGCGCTTATTCCTAAAGAATGAGGTTCTCCGGGATGGGACGTTATTTGAGAGAAATGAGTTCATTCAATGTGGGACGTTATTGGCTAAACACTGATCTCTAATATAATAGTATCTTGTGGATATTTCGTACGATAAAAATCGTAACGGTACCGGATTGGTCTACAGGAGTTCGTGTTTCGTACAGGTCATTCCATTCATAGAAAGCCTTTATATTGGAGAAAGCGTAGTCGATAGCCATAGTAGCCTATGTGAATACTAACTACGGCTACATAAAATTGATTATAAGATTGAAAAATATTAGGCCTAATCTTACTGTAGTAGTGATATGTACACGTTTTAATTATTGTTATTTATTCGTTAACGTATTTATTGTATTCACATTAAATTTAAAGTATTGTTTAAGTATGAATTACAATGTCCATGTAAAATTAATCTTATTTATTAAAATTGTATATTTAAATAATATAGTAATAGGCATAGCCGAGGTCTAGCCTAGACTAGGCCTAAACAAATGACTACGCCTATGTGAGTGTATAAAATTATGAAAAATATGAATAAAACGCAAAATTGTGAAAAAATAAAGGAAGAATGGGAAAGAGATTTGGAGCGGCTGAAATATTTTCCGAAAATATACAATAGTAGTTAATATGCTATTATTACATTACGTTTTTGTAAACAATTATGGGCACTAATCGTCAGAGGTCTCGGTGCCACAGCCTACACTTTTCATACTTCGTAATTTATAGCGAGATCAGTGTTTGTAAACATGGTAAAAGAATCGCCAGTAAATTTGTCGCCCTCTATGATTGATTGCGAATCCAGCCGCGCCCCTTGATTTGAATTTTTTGAGGATGTGACCGACAAAGTTTATGTTGTGGAAGAATGCTCGCACAAAAACAACATGGTAATGTATTTTATATAATAGGGATTAAATTCAAATTGAATTTATTAATTATGGGTTGGTTTCATTCCATTGAGGCTGAGCCAACCTTTTTTTTTTTTTTCGTTGAAGGAAGGGAGGAAAGCTAGGCTAGGCCTAGTAGTAGTCTAGCCTAGGCGGGTTAGTAGTAGTAGTAGTAGGCTTAGGCACCTAGGGCCTAGTACTAGTAGGAGAGTCCCACCTCACTCGCGATAGAAAAGCTTCGATTTAAAAGGCATTCCCAGGTCCTCCACCTCTGACTGTCCGTCTGTTGTGAAGGCTAGAAATAACGTAAAACCTCGAATTAAAGCCCAGTGTAATGTAACTTCATGCCTGGACCCCAATGGAAAATAATCCATCTGTTTTGGATTAATTGGGTCGTCCTGAATCTAGGCTAGTCTTTTTTTTATTTCTCTGTAGGCTATCCCCTGGCCCTATTTTGTATTTTGATTCGAAACAGGGGTGGCACCAGCGGGGGAGGGGGAGGCCCCACCCTGTCTCTTATACACATCTATGAGAAAAAGCACAATTCGTGGGGGAAAATTATATGTATTTCCTACATATTAGTAGACACTAAAATCGATTAAATAAAGCCTTTGAAACCCCTAAATTGTCAAAATTTTCCCCCAGCACCACTTTTAAATCCTTTTAATACCTTTTAATCGAAGCTCGACCACGCTCACTTTGGTATCCTTGGGTGAAATCTGAACCCTCGTCGAGGCATCTCCCCCTCCCCGATCGGGGACCTCGGACCCCCCACCATCGGGCAAATCCTGGTGCCACCCTTGATTCGAAATGAAAACAATCTTGAGATGAAACTTATCTCGCATTAAAGCCCCCTCTTTAGTTTGTAAAATTAGCCTTGAAATGAAGCCCATCTCAAAAAGAAGCCCATGGGATTCTTTTCAAGATAACATAGGCTTCTGTCAAGATATTATAGTACATACACTGTACATGAAGTTCAGAAAGCAAAATAAATTGAATACAAGCTTGGTTTCCAGTATAGTTTAGTGATTTCTGTCTCTTATACACATCTAGATGTGTATAAGAGACAGCATTATTATTGTATATACACATGTAGGTGGCAATTCCCATCGCTGCCTCTCCTTGTGTTTCAGCTGGAGGTCTGAAATACAAGTTAAAAGTAGCGCACTGTTTTTCGGATGAGACGTTTAAGCCATTGGTTACATGTGCATTATGGCCCATGTGCACGTTAAAGAACGCAGTACACTCTTCGGAAAACAGTAGTTGATTATCTCCCGGTGTACTGCCCAATCACCACCAGTAGGACCCCACTGGAAATAAGTCTTAGACTTTCATGGGCTATCCTTTACACCGAATAAATCCAATCCAATCCAAGGAAGCCCATGCAAAGTTCATAATTAAATGAAGCCCAGGGTTTCAATTCAAGGTTTTACAGTAGGCCTAGATAGGTATATTAATTTTGGAATCAATTAACCAAAGATGTATTAAATATTGATTAAAGAAGCCTTCCAAGTCTCTAAATTATTTTGTTACTATGTTGGACAAATTTGTTTCCACTAATGAAAGGATGCTCATTATGCAGCTGTTAGTTATATGATGCAATAGTCAGAACATACAGTATAACCCCCCTGGAAAAAAGGTACAGATTAATGCTGAAGCAAGAACATTTATGGTTACCAGACTCGTGGGGAATATATCTTTGGCGCAAAAATTTTGCCTAGAAGTGCATTTCGAAAAATAAGGGCCGATTTCCACGCATATTTTGCCGAAAATTAGGCTTTGACCAAATCTTAATATATAACCAATGCAATTGTGCAGCAATTAAGATATAGCGCACCTATTTTCTCAGCGAATTTCCGTGCAAATGTCAGCTGATTTTGTAGATATCCTCCGCACAATTAAAAACCTTTACAGTATGGTTATGCACGTCTAGATGGCCGCAAATGGCACTCATGACCTAAGTTTGATTAAAATTTTCTTTTTTCATCTTTAAATAATTTTAAGAAATTAGGAATTCTTCACTGTGTTGTAAATGATTTAATACTTCAAGTCACTGTTTGCCAGTGATTTATTATATTGTTTTATTAACTACTTATGAAATTGTTTTTTGAATAAATCGTACTACAGAAGAAGATCCAAAATAAAAAGTGTCCCCTTACTAGGATGTCCAATAGAGGTGCTGTCCCCTAAATAGGGTATGGCTGTGTTTTATGTACTTTACCTTCATTTTGTGGTCAAAAAATTCTTCTCCTTATAGGGGTGTCCCAAAGGAAGGGTTCTATTGTATTGTGAAACAGCATAAGTGAGAAGTATGCCCTTACATTAAATCAATGCATTAATAAAAAAAAAATATGATAACAAATTAAGAAGCTGGTTAAAATTTGTAGAGATTATGGAGGCGAGATTGGAACAATGGAGGATGCAGAAGACAAACAGGACACCACAAACCAGAAGGCAACCAACTCATAGGAAAAAGCTACCTTGCAGCAAAGAATTGAGTAGTTTTAAAACACAACAAAAAGGTCAAATGTCAAGAAGTGTTCCAAGTTCAAGGAGGAAACAAAGGTCAAAACAGGAGGATAGGTCAGCACAGGGACAAAGGTCTGTACTAGCTCCACGGTCAAAACAACAGGATGTTTATCAATGCAAAGAGACAAGCTCCGATCTAACCATGAGGTAGGCAATATACCTATTGTATTTCAATATTAACTAATACTGTATTCAAATTTGTTAGACATTAATAGTATGTCACTCACATTACAGACAATGAAAATTGATTGTGTTACTTTGTGAAAACTAAAAAAAAAAGTGTTAAAATATGCGCTGTTGTTTAAGTCTTTTTTTATTGTAAAGAATTCAAAAGTGCCTGACAAATCAATAACAAGCTTATTTTCATGTACTTTTGTGTTTTAATGAACTAACACAATCTACTTTTATATCTAAACATATAGCATGGTAAAGGGAAAATGAATTATCACTGATAGATACCATACTAAAAAGAAAATAATAAAAATCTTTACATTGATTGGTGCCATATTTTGTCTTTATTAGAGAAAAACTTGAAGCCTGGCTTGTTGAGAAAAAAAAGCGAATGGAATTTGAAAAGGCACAGATTAAGATTCGACCATGGAACAGTAATAAGAGGAAGCTAGCAGTGAGCCGCCTGGATTGGCAGCCAGACACAAGCTTCAAACTAAGAGACATTGTAACAAGCAAATACCGGGGGTACTACGGTCAAGCAAAAGCTTGTAAGTTAACTCCTGGTCAACTCCTTTGTCCTGTTGATACAACTCAAAGGGAAGCGATAAATTTAAAGGAAAATGTCATGACATGCAATGTTAAATAATGTGCAGCAACAAATATTTGGTCCATGAGTATGAAAGCGTGAGAGGTCCACCTCCCCTACCCCACCCCCAAAGTTGTAAGACTTGCTTTAGATGACATGCAGGCAATATTTTAAGCTCTGTCTACACTATCATTTTCTATGACAAATTTGTGTGATTTGCCCATATATGGACATATATAATGATTTCATATCATCCGCATCAAATCAAATCAAATTTTATTCAAAAATATCGTCTTTGTAGCTTTCCAGCTAAATTGTGACTGATAATGATATACTGAGTACATGTGCAACATAAAAAATGAACAACATGATTACAACTACAATTAAATAACAAACAAAATTAACCTAATCTAAATTACAAAAAGCAAATTGATAAAGATGAATTTGTTAAAATTGTGGTCTGTTGGTTCTGATAATTTGATTTATAATATTTATGAGCTGTGGTGTGGGGCTATTTTTGTACCTATTAGTTGTGAATTTTGGTAATTTATATGTATTATATTTTCTTAGATTAAATTCATAGGATATTTATTATTTTCTTAATGTCATTTCTTATCCATATATATGGACATAATGATGTCATATATCAGGCTATATGGGCATTATGATATCACATGATGCAGAAAACTTGAAGGTTCATATGTGGCAGACAAGCCAAACCACTCGTCGCAAATTGTGTTTCAGAGAAAATAGCAAAAACATGCTGGAATGTAAAATTTAAAAAAATCTATTTTATTTCACTAAACTGAGGTTTATGTACATCTATACATCATGCTGTGCTGTTATTTTTCCCAATTTCAATGTTAAAACAACACTTTTTAAAGATTTTATGATAGTTTTTGCATGAGAAATGCTTGAAATCATAAAATTTGAAGGCTGATTTCTCATATATTTTTCTTAAAACAGCTGTATGCTTAAAGGCTTGTAACTTCATAAGGAAATGTCAGATTTGAATGATTTTTTTACCATTTTATAGCTCTTATTTTACTCTTTAACCCCTGTATTAATAACTCAAAATTGATTTTTGCGACGAGTGACTGGTTTGGCTTGTCTTTGCCACATATATGGACATGGTGATGTCATATGACACCCATATATGGGAATTATGATGTCACATGTTACAAAAACTTGTTAGTCTGGATAGAGATTTATAGAAAATTTTGATACATTAATAATTTACAAATTATTTAATTGGTAGGGCTCGTTTGGAAGAATGGCTTACCGCAAAAAATAAGACACCGCACACGGTCAAAAGAAATGTACGGAGAGAAACATTTGATGTTGTCAGACTCAGTTCAGAACTAGAGCAATGTGTTCAAGTGGATGAGGATGCCCGTTTGGAAAGAAGTGAAGTGGACGTGAATTGCGCCCTCGATGAATGCCTTCACAGCTGTCTTGGTTTCATGAACGAGGTTAAAATTTCATCGATTTTTTAAAGATCGAATTGAAAATTGAAATATCTGATAAAAACAAGATCTGATAAAACCTTAAAGATCTAAATTAAATCATGAAAACCTATCTTTTATATTTTCATTAAAAAAGTGTTAATGACAAATGAAAGCGAGTTTCTAATATAATATTAAAATACTACAAAACAGCTTTTGATTGCATTTTAGTTTATGTTATAGCTGAATACTTGAAGTTTTCTTATAAGAATGTGAATATAAAGAAAAAAACTTTTTGGTCAGTTAACATACTTTTGATTTTTCTTTTAATATCTTAGATAAAGAATGAAAACAAAGTTGGTGATTGGCTAGAAGAGCTACATGAACGCTGCCCTCAAGTAAGAAGTAGAGCTTTGTTTTGGGTTTGTCGAGCTAAAGTCGCTGAGAGGGCTGGTTTTGGTCAGCAGCATGTCCTCGCTTTGTATGAACAAGCAATTGAGCACAAAGCAAAGGTAAGAATGCCTTTGTATGATAGAGATAAACCCTAACTTATGTTCAGAATACTGTAACAAGAATTAAATATTTTTTAATAGTAATGAGGCCAAAGTGTTGCCCAAAGCCCAACTAAATAAAAATCTTGAAAAAACCATTGTGTTATAACACATTCCTTTCTTTTGGCAGCCCACTGACATTTTGAAATCAGCGTTACAAGATTTCACAATCAGATACTCACAAAGAATGGACACTACACCCTGTGCAACTCCAAAACTACTTCTAGCCACACCTGGGCCAGTGTCGTCAAGCACCCTAAAATACTGCCCCACCCCCAAGGTGGAGGAGGGTACATCATCTGTGGTCCGTTACTCTCTCGTTAAATCCACGCCCATTGTAAACCGGTAAGTCTACAACCCAATAAATCAATACAATCACAGCATTTTAATAAGGGTTTATAATAATCATTAATAGTTTCATTGTTATTTCTCTCTTTTTTATGTTAAAAAATGCAATAAAGCATGCAAATTTCCAACAACATTGAGTTATTTGCTAAATAAAGTAATATAAATACATTAAAATGAACCATTGAATTACTTTATTATAAATACATTAGAATGGACCATTAACTTACTTTATTATAATAAAGTGGACCGGCCTTGGTGGGTAAATGTACTTGTCTTCCAAACCAAAATGTTCTTGGTTCAAATCCTTGAGAAATTTATAACAGAAATTGTGTTTACTGTTTAGTCTTGAGAAAATATTGACATTTGTATGATTTGAACCCAGAATCTCAGTCCTGGAAGGTAAGGACAGCCAACCAACAAATCCAGTACTGTATATTGATGTTTTTTTACCCCATTTACAGTAGAATCTCATTTTTACGTACCTCAGTTATACAAACCCTCAGTATTAAGTACGCTTCCTATGGACTATGATGTCATTAAAAACCCCCAAATGCTCAAAACAAACGGCCCTTTTGAGGGCCACTATAATGTAAAGAGAGGTTTGTTAGTTCCTGTCTGTTCATTATTTGATTCAACAGCAACATTGATTGTGCCTATTTAACACGCGTTATAATCTAAACCTTTGTTGTATAGGTAATCTTTTCATGTTCTTTAGTTAAATAAAACATATGAAGTGATGCATTAATAAACTAATATGGTTTGATTTGAACACTTTATTATGACATCATAAAATGATGAATAAAAACACTAAACACATGGTTTTATTCTTAGGAAGTAACATTCGTTCATAACATACGTTGAGAGTTGGGTACATATTAGGTCAAAGGTCACCACAAATTTAAACGAACCTTGGTTTAACGAATTGCCCGATTTACGTACGTTCTCCGGTCCCATACATAAAATCGAGGGTATACTGTACTGTATTATTATTTACTTGTGACTGATATTAGCTATATATTTATTGACATTTAAAATGATCTCAACAGATTGAACAAAAGCATGGATGGCAGTTCTCAACGGTTTTTAGTGACGCCTGTCCGACGTTCCATACGGCTTGAGAAGATCGCTAGTAGAGGTCATAGTACTAGTCGGGGGATTAACCTATGCATTTCCTCCCTACAAGATCTACCAGCGGATATGGAAAATCTGGTAATGAAGCCTAATAGAGCTTTAGAGGAGGAATTCATGGGCACAATAGATGAATAAGATGAGAATTTATTATTTTTATTTTGTTTTTCATTATTTGATCAAACAATATATGATAAGTGTGCCTACCTTCAATACAAATTTGTTCATACAAATCATATATCTTTCAATATCTGAAAATCAGACAATTAATGCTCTACTTCATCAGATAAAATCTGACAAAAATATAATTTATACATTCTAGTTTGATAACCTTATTGGTCCTTCAATTTCATAAAAGTGGCACCCACCATTTACAAAATCAACATGAAAAATACAGCACACACATTATTTTAATCAAATAAAGTAATTTACTTTGGCTATTACAAATTTATGCTATAGAATATTTGTTAATATTGAATAAAAAAAACCCATGCTTGTTTACATTGTTTCTAATGTATAAAATTATGGAAAAATTTAAAAAATATATTGCCATATACTGTAGTAACTTAAGGGGACTCTAATCACTTAGCTAATCAAAAAACCCTAACTTAACCCATTAATTAATGGATGCTTAAAGCCTCATTACCGGCAGAATTTCACTAAAAATGCATATGCATTACTTTAATTATTATAAACCATGGAAAGATATTGGCACAAATTTTAGTTTTTACGCAAAAGAATTTAAAAAAAAGAGAGAAATACAGGCTATTTCTCATCGGAGATTACCATTTTCTCAACAAATTCTTCGTTACTAGGCAAATTCAGAGGTTGTAGATCGCATTAGCTGGAATGCTCTCACTTTGATGTATACTTTTTACAGTCAATAAACTGCGCCCTCTCTAATGAGATTAGTTTTTGTACCTCGCAAACTGCGGTCAATCGAGTAGGCCTGAGATATGTTTGTGTATATGTCAAAATCTCGGTCAAAATCATTTTTTAACACATTTGAAATAATTCCAATGAAATATTAGATTTCACAAGCGTCAATACTAGCAACGGAAAATATCATGTCAGCCGCTTTTATGTGTGATAACAGAACCTAAATCGAGGTAAGGCTA